AATGAAAATGTGCTTCGAATTTGAAGAGAGATAAAGCAACACAAAGCTCGAGAAGGAGAGAAAGCGAGCGAGAGAGAAGAGACACCGAGAGGATTTCTCATTGTGTATTCACGGGAGACATAATGGAAATTAAGTTTTAGCGAGGTTATGAATTGTATTAAAAATTTCAATTAAAACTTTTAATCGCAAGGGTTTCAAACCGTTGCATAAAACACCTTTATGTAGCAGCTTATGGAACTCGCCGCATAATTAAATCTTAAGCAATAGTTTTTGCAACGGTTTACCTAATTAAATGGGGAAAAAATAATTTTGATCTGTAACGGTTTGACACCTCTACAAAATCGCTACATCTGATTATAATATGCAATGGTTTCGAAACTACTACAAAGAAACCGCTACATAATGTAAAAAAATGCGATAGTGGTTGTTCCTAGCACATAAAAAAATGATAAAAATAAAAATTCATATAATAAATAAATAAAGATTTAATGTTTCACAAAATTATAAACTATACATGTTTTAATGATTTTAGCTCATTCTTTAAAAATTATATAAAAATGTCACTAATTAAACATTCAATAATAATACTAGTATGGATCTAATTTTTTGACCAAAATTCCAATAAACGCCGACATGGCGAGATGACGAAGTATGACACGTGAACTTTAGCAAGCCATGTGCGATCCATACAAGCATGACATGTGAACTTTAGCAAGCTACATAGGATCCACATAATTGATTTTTAATGCCACTACTTATGTGGATCTTATGTGGCTTGCTAAAGTCTACTTGTAATGTTTACGTGGATTGATATGTCAACATTGATCGGAATTTTAGTCGAAAAATCGGATAGATGCTAGTATTGTTATCAAAGACTTTGTTAGTGAACTTTCTATACAATTTTTAAAGAACGAGCTAAAATCATTAAAAAATATATAGTTCATGATGTTTTGAAACATTAAGCCATAAATAAATTCATTGTAAATTAAAATAAATAAAGAATTGAAATTTTTTATTTTGATCATTAGAAAAATTAAAAATTAAAATCATGCCAACATATTTTATGATTTAAAGATAATCAAACCATCAAAATAACTTTACATAATTTTTAGGTGACTATACCGAGGCTTGGTTCAACTTCAACAAGAGTCATATAAAAATAATCAGCATTAACAACACAACTGATCTTAATTATATTAATATGTGAACTTTCAATTCTTAATAAATCAATAATGTGAATCAATATTTTAATTTACAAACATTTAATAACAAGAATTTATATGTAATCATATTTTTTCCTTTTTTTTTCAATCACGATTTATAGATTTAAAAACTCAAGTATGGAGAAATAAATATTCATAAAAAATCAAAAATTACTTGCAATCATAAGCATCACATTCTTTCATCATTACAAATGAATCTCAAGTATATAAGACAATAATAAGAGAAATGTTATCATTTTGCTTTTGGCACTTAATCTTTTATGGTTACCGTATTGTAAGTAAATGCTGCTGAAATACACTTCACGGTAGCTCGTCAACAATAGACATTTCAATGCTTCTCATTAACAATCACCGACAATTGGAGTTTATCTTCCAATAAAAATAATTTTACCTTTTTGTATTGACAAAGCTATGAAAAAAGAAAAACAAATACACATCACATTTAAAAAATTCAAATATAACAAATAATCATTATTCTCCCATTTGAAATTGTGATGGTATATCAATATATATCATCCCAATAAACAAAAAAAAATTCATTAAGGTTCTGTAATTAATTTTATTTAAGCAAATGTTGATGACTATAATAGTTCATACTCCATAGTAGTATAATTTAAGAACTAATATAAATTATGACAATCAAAATATTTGTATATGCTAGAAAATTTTATCATACAAAAATAAATAAATACCTCCCATGGCCTCCAACGCCACATAAATTCATTGATGTTGATAATGAAAATATAAGTTAGATACAAAATAATTTTGCTAGACATAAAAGTGTAATAATATTAAAAAATTACCTCACTAATTTTCACGTTTATTATCTTTATATATCAAATCCAAGTAAAATATTACTTAAACATTATTTTCTCGCTAGCAATAATTTCAAGAAAAAGTATGTATTTTTTTTATGGTCATGGTTAATCAGAAAGCATGATAAATGATATTAGCATAGAAGATATTAGTTAAAAGCTCACAAATATATACATATAAAATTCAAACTGAGCATAAAAATTATTGGTATCAAGAGCTAGCATATAGAAAATGTCTTTTAACACTTTTACCACAAACAACTTTTTCAATGAAATTTGCTATATGTATAAGCAAAATATTTTTTAATACTTGGTTGATGCTTAATTAAAATAGAATCATCAAACACCACTTAAAAAACAAACAATAAACAAGTAATGACGATGATATTATATAAAAAAAAACATAATCTTTAATTTTTATATCAAAATTCTTTTTTCGATTTTAATCCCAAAATTACACACATTGATGTTCCTAGCACATAAAAAGAAATATAATTAAAAAATAAAAATTAACACAATAAATAAATTCATTGTAAATTAAAATGAATATAAAATTGAAACTTATTGCCTCGATCATGAGAAAAAATAGAAATGAAAATCACATTATCATGTTTCACGATATAAAAATGACCAAACAATATTTGAAATAACTCTATATAATTTTTTAGGTGATTGTGTCGAGATACAATCAAGTTACTTTCTTAAAACGATACGTACCTTTTGTAGAATTTATCCGATGCAACAGATTAAGGATATACTACATGTCGTCTTAGAGGTACAACAAACTTAGTCACTTTATCGTTCATGTCTTAACAAATTTGTACACTTGTAAGATTTGAAACTCAAAATATAATAGTACCGAGTCTTACCTAAAAATATAGAACTAATAAAAAAACAGAGTAAATTATAAATTAGTCACTCTTGTTTTGAGAAATGAATTAATTAGTCCCTCTCATTTTAAAAACTAATTATTTAGTCCTTCTATTTTCACATTTACTTATAACTTAATCCTTTTTAATTTATTTGGATTTTTTATTTTAAAAAATAGAAAAATATAAAAAATAAGGAAAGATTAATAACAAAATAAGAGATTTTGTGAAATAAAAATAATATTAAATTAAACATGATCAATACTGATTAAAAGACTAAATAATAGTTTTTGAAATGAAGGAGACTAATTAATTTTTTTCTTGAAATTAGAGGGACAATTGAATTAATTGACAAACAAAATGGTTGGAAAAAAAAAAAAACAACAACAACGTTGCAGGAAGAATGCAAGACCCGTTTGTTAATTGAATAAAAAATAAAACTGTTGTAAACATTAGCATTTTAACGTAACTTGTTAAAGCATGCATTGAATATTTTATTATTATTATTATTTTAATAATATATATATATATATATATATATATATATATATATATATATATTCTAACAACACTTACTTTTATATACATTTTTTACCTTTTACTTTCTTATAATGCAAACTAAGATTTTCTTGACAAGCAAGACAGCTTCATACTAAAAACAGCGCAGAGGCACGATGGTTCTTCAAAACTTATGATATTGTGAATTTTAGTGGTAGAATTATCATTATTATAAATCGGAATTGGATGCATAAAGGACTGCTACCCATAATAAGCGCATGACTGTACGTACGTTTAAATGCAATTGTGATCTTAAAGGGGAAATAAACATTGACTATACGTAGATTATGGATTGAAATCTTTTCATATTCTCTTCAACACAATATTATCTAAGGAAGATAATTATATATCATTTGATAATTAACTATACACTAAAAATTAGCTATTTTTAATTAATAATTACCTTTCATATACAATTTCAAATTTATGATAGAAAATCTTTGAAAGGAAAAAACGTTAAAATCAATCATAAACAAACAAAAAATAATAATATTAAAAAAAAATCTTTAACATATATAGTTAGAATTTCTAAGGATAAACTTTTTGGTCAAATAATTACTACAACTTACAAAAAAATTCTAACTTCTTAGACAATTTTCTAGGAGCAATAGCCAGTTTTATTAAGCTTTTTGAAAGATTTTCATCGTCTGTTAACTTTTTTTTTCTTTTTAGAATTTGATGATGACCAATATAATATATAAGAAATTAATCTTCACGGTTGACATAATGCGGTTGTAGTTTTTTTTTTTTTTTTTCCCTAACTAAATCAAAGTTTATGTGAGGGGTCAAAATTGTGAGAAATCACTAAGCATACTTTTTCATTTTTGTGGAGAATCTTAAGCATACTTAATTGATTTTGTAGATTTTTTAGGATTGCTTTAATTTATCATTACTTTTCTAAATTTTGGATCATTATATTAAAATTATATTATGTATGCGTGTGAAAGGTAAGTATAAATTTAAAATAGCTAAGTTTACATGGGGTAGAAAGTAATTGTTTGAATTTATTTTAAAGTCTCTTTCTATGCTCTATTATAGTACTTCATCTGTCTTTAAAAAAAATTATTCTCTTTGATTTTTTACATAAATTAAGAAAATTATTAATTATTATACCATATTAATTTGTAGATTTTATTTATATTTTTCTAAAATATTTTTATTAAAATGGTATTTTGACAAATTTTTACAAGATGGACTTTAATTAGAAGTATTTTAGGAATAAAAACCATTTAAAATTTTGACTATACAAATATTTGTGGTGGTGGGGGGGGGGGGGGTGTGGGAGAAGTATACAATCTTTTTGGATATGAAGAGTATATTAAAAGTAAATTTAATAGAAGATAGCTTAATTTTAGGGGGGTTTTTTTTTTTAAGTAAATATTGACTATTACTTAATAAAATCGGATCCATTCTTTATATATATTAGCCCAGGTACACTACAAACAAATTGCATATACCAAGATTAACTTAATTCTGCCCATGGAGGCTGAACCTGTTTCAACTATGAAGCATTTTCTCTTGGCATCCTTTTGGCCATGGTCTTGCTGTCCCTAACCACCAGCATTGCTGCCACTCGCTCTACCAAAACAAAACCTCGGAGATTTGTCACTAAATTCATTCACCGGGATTCTATTTTCTCTCCTTTTTACAATCCTAATGCAACCATAGTGGACCGTGCTAGACAAGTCCAAGAAAGATCTATTGTACGTCTGGGATACTTAGCAAGAGTTTCTTCTTTCGCCAACACCAATGATGTTCGAGCTCGTATCATTTCTGCAGATGTCGATACCATTTTTTTGGTAAAATTGTCCATAGGTGAGCCACCGGTGGAGCAAATTTTAGGCATGGATACAGGTAGGAATCTAATATGGGTACAATGCCAACCCTGCACAAATTGCTTTAAGCAATATTCTCCAATTTACGATCGTTTCAAGTCATCTACTTATCAAAACTTAACGTGCGACTCTCCCTTTTGCCCTAAGAATTCATGTGATTCTTTTGACCATTGCGGGTTCTCATCTGCATATGTTGATCCCAGAACCTCCGCATCCGGTATCATGGGGATGGACACATTCAGCGGCTTTTTCACATCTGATGAGGGAATTGCTTCTATTCCTTACATGATTTTTGGTTATGCTTATGATAATAAAGGGATCGATGGCCAAGTTATTGGAATACTAGGATTAAGTTCAATTAGTGTTTTCGTGTCAAAATTTCGTAAATTCTCCTGTTGCATTGGCAATATAATAGATCCTAAATGCTTCCATAACGTGTTAGTGTTCGGGGATGGGGCGATATATAGTATAAGGCGATCCGACCCCTATAGATGTATTCAATACCTTTTGCTATCTTACCATGGAAAGCATTAGTGTTGGAGAAAAAGTTCTTAATATTGACCGACAAGTCTTCGAGATAGATCCTAAGGGTAAAGGTGGAGTTCTTATTGATTCGGGATCCACTTATAGCTTTCTAGTCGAAGCTGCATCTCGTCCTTTAATGGATGAAGTAAGTAGTTTGCTTGATAGGAAATTACAACGACTCAATGATCCTTATGATTTATCAAATTTGTGCTATTATGGAGATATAAACCGAAGTCTCGTAGGATTTCCAGCGGTTACATTTCATCTTGCTGGAGGAGCCCAGTTCGTGTTAGACAATGGGCATGTTTCATCAGATTAATCGTGTTAAATTTTGCATGGCTGTCCGCCCATCCATGCCTGGTCTCAATGGATTGAACCTTGTTGGAGCAATGGCTCAACAAAATTATAATGTTGCTTACGACCTCGAAGAAGATAAGCTTACCATCCAGAGGACAGATTGTCAACTTCTTGAATAGATGTAATGAGAATATATGATTATCAATGTCTTTTAATTATCAGTACAACTTAATTATATGAGCCCTTACAATTTAGAACGGTTTTCTATTCTATATATGTTGTGAATTTTCTTTTTTTCTTTTTTTCTTTTTTTTCATTTATAGTTCATGATCATTTCCATCTTTTTTTTTTCCATTGATAAACTTTAATAAATATTTTGTTGGCATATGGGACGACAAATTGAGATATTTCTCATGTTTTCTCTCATAATCTCAAAGGAACGCCCTCATATTTATTAAATTTAAAATTTATTTTTAAAAATGAAGTTTTTTTTATCCCATGTTCACTATAAAAAAATTAATTAAAAACATGCACGATTTTTATTTTTATTTTTATTGTGTTTTAAGTATTTAATTTTTTATTAAATTTATTCGAGTGCTAACTTTTGATTTATTTTTTTTTCTATTTAACTTCACTTAGTTACCGGAGGCTTAAAATTAAATTAATCCACAGAAAAAAATGAAATATATAAATATATATATAAGAAAAATTAAAAATTAAAAAGAAAAAGATATTATAAGTGACCACACCGATCGAGCTCCTTATTTTCCATAGCCCATTAATCATAACATTATAAGTAACCACATTTGAACAAACACAAGACCCTTCAACTAATCTTTCCCAAATCTCTGTCTACCTGAGGAAAACCATCAATTACATCAAATAAGTTGTTGTCTTAATAGTAAATGAGTTTCTTATTATAAAATTTTTTTGTCAATGAGTTCAAATTTTAAAACTCTATTTATTAAAAAAGATTAAAGTTTAATGTTCTGGCTCTCACAAGGTTAATTCTATCTTTAATATAGAACAGATATACTTTTTTTTAAATAAAAAAAAACAGCGGTCACTAGATTATTATAACATATCACTTCAGGAACTAAAACTCAACCAAACGTTTCATCAAACACCTAAAATAACTTTCCCACATCCCCACACTTTTCCATCCCGTTAACAACAGTACCATAGCTATACATGTCAGGCTTTAAATCTTTACTCCACATTCAATCCAATAATCCTTTTTCCTTGAAAAATTGTCTCTTAACTGAAATCTTTATCAAAATATTACTATATGTTTGCAAATTAAGCAAAATAACCCCCCTTTCAAAATAAGAAAAAAAAATCCTATGTCTAACTGATTTGCTTCAATAAAAGCATTTAACAATATGTCGCTACCCGAAATCGGACGGGACAAAAAAAAAAAATCTAATGTTTATCATTTATTTATAGAAATTTTTTACAAATTTGGAGTCATCACTTAGTATTGAAGGAACTAGAAATCTAAAATGGACATTGGTTTAGAGATTCTCGAGTAAGGAGTTGATTACGCTTTGGCAAGATATTGATCACCTCAAAGGTGCCTTTTCCTAGAAAAGATACTATGTCTAGCTTAGTCTAAAATTCATCTCCTCAAATATTTTATTTTGTACAAATTTATTTATGATTTAATCCTAATTTTCCAAGCTAAATTAAGTTTTTATGGTTTAGGCGTGACATAGTATTTAATGATCATCGGTCCCTTTCATCGGGCGATACGTTGGCTTAAACATTGGATCCATATTAAGTCTCGACACAACCGAGTTTGTCGGAGAACATTTTGATTATAAGTGTTGATTTTTGTAGAGACAGTCCATATCGGATACATTATAAGAAAATTGACAATTAACAACGGATTTTAGCGACGGACAAGAAATAGGTGATTTTTATGACAGATTGGCCATGGAATAGCAAGGGAAACTTAACGTCGGAATTAATTCCTTCATAAAATTACGTAGTAAAAAAAAGCACCTCGTTTAGCGATGGATTTTCGTCACTAATTTAGTTACGGAATAAGATCTGTCATCATCGGTCGATACATAGTGAACGGATTCATTCCGTCGCTAAATAAAAGATAATGAGTTGCCTTTTGAGGCTCAAATTAGCGACGGAATAGTGATCCGTCGCTAATTTGAAATAAAAAATAGCGACGGATTTGAAAATTCATCGCTATTTTTTACGATTTCATGGGAATTTTCCACCAAAATCACCAATTAGCAACGGATTTCACAATCCATCGCTATTTTAAAAATTTGGGTGGAAATTTTTCCACCCACATAGTTCAAATTAGCGACGAATTTATAATTTCTTCGCTAATTAGTGACGGATTGGTGATTCCATTACTAATTAGCGACGAAATCATGTCCGTCGCTAATCTTCGAGCCTATAAATACCCAGTTTCTCTTCTTCTTCCCCATTCGGTCCCATCTCTCCTCCACTCAAAAATCCACCATCGGCCGGAAAACCACCACCCGAGCCGCCCCTCCTCACCAAGTGATCGCCAAAACCATTCAACTCGGTGAGGTGCATCTTTCTCCCTCAAAATTCTACGAAATTTCGCTCTCTCTCTTTGATTTCTTTGGTAAAACTTTTTCTTTCTCTAACTCTTTTTCTTTGAAAAATTAAATGAATGTCATAAACTTTTAGGTTAATTTTGTTATTTTTTAGTTGATTAATTGTTTGAATGTTGTTAATTTTATTATTATGTTAATTTATTTGTTAATTATTAGTGTAAATTTTTTAATTTTTTATTTAATGTTCTTAATTTTTAGATTAATTTTTTTAAGTATTATTTTTTAATTATGTTAATTTTTAGGTTAACTTTTATGTTAATTTTAACCTAAAAATTTTTAATTATGTTAATTTTTTAGGTTTAATTTTATTAATGTAATTTTTAATTATTTTTAATTTATTTATTTTTAATTTTTAGATTAAAATTTAATTATTTAATATTTAATTGTTATTTTAAATTAATTAATTAATTAATTGTGTTAATTATTAGGTGAATTTTTTAGTTTTTTGTTTTAAGTTAATTTTTAAATTATATAATTTTGTACGTACTTTAGTTAAATTTTGTTGATTATTTCTTAAGAAATTTTTAACTTATTGGTTGCCTATAGATTCGTTGACAAGTCGACGAATCTATCGTTCCTTCCACACGGCATCCCGTTCGGTCTCCATCAAATCCTCCCGTCGAGCTCTCCACAAAATACCAAAAGGAGGATATGAGATTAGACGAGCAGGATGAGTGACGATGGGCGATAAAACAAACATTTAGTGACTTTGTTTTATTTTACCGAACGTACGTACTACCGAATGTTATTGTTAAAATTAATTCATTTTCAATCTATACGTTATTACTTTTAATTGTTAACTATTACATCCAATATTAATTATTAAATATTAAATGCAATATTAATAATTTTAAAAAAACCAAAATAAAATGAAAAAATATTTATTTTTTTGAAAATATAGCGATGGAATAGTGACGTAAGCCACAACGGTTCTACTATGAAAACAACGACGAATTAGCGACGAAATGGATTTTTCCCTCGCTAAAAATTAGCGACAAGCAAAATAATAATATACGAAGTCGTCTATTGATGGTCCGTCGCTAATGGCCATTAGCAATGGAATAATCTGTTGCTAATTGGCTCTTTTTTTGTAGTAATAGGAGACTTCATCAAAAATTTTATTTTTTCTTTACTTTTTTGGTTAAATGGTAGTCCTTATGAGATAAGAGACTTCATTGAAAATTTTTATTATTTTGTAGTCACACAACAATCCCTATTAGATAGGAGACTTTGTTTAGAAATTTTATTATTTTTTATCAAATGATAGTTTCCATGAGCCAGGAGACTTCGTTAAGAAATTTTTTATTATTTATCATTTTTTTTGTCAAGCTACAATCTCTATCGGATAGGAGACTTCGTTGAGAATTTTTATTATATTATTTTATTTTTATCGATGGAAAAACGATCATCGAGTCCCTAAAAATAGGAGACTTGACAATTATCCACCTATTAATTAATTTAAATCTAATTACTAAAATAAAAATCAACAATTACATTAATTGAATAAAATTAAAAAATTCAAATATTTGCAATAGAAATTAAACATACATAAATAAATTCAAGGTTAAATAAAATGAAACTTAGGCTCCTTTTTTTTAAAAAAAATATTTTTCCTTTCTTTTTTTATTTTTATTCTCTCTTTTTTTGCCCTACATCTATTTCTTCATTTTTTATTTTTTTTATTTTTTTTATTTTGGAGATTCCGACCTCTCTTCCTTATTATTATTATTTTTTTTGGGAGAAGGCTAGACCGATTACAACCTTCTCATTTACTTATTTATTTATTTACTTAGGCAAAAGGGCCTTCGACCTAGCCTTTTTTTTTTATCTTTTCTTGCTCGTGGAATGAGCTGGACTGGCTGAAATCAATCCAACCCCCCTCTTTTTTTACCCCGATTGAGCTCAAGCCCAAAAATAGGTCCGGAGGCTAAAAAATTTTAAAATTTTGATCAAGCCCCCTCCCGACTCTTATCTCTTTAGTTCTTCATATTCTCTCTTTAGTTCCTCATGTTTTCTAGGAACCGATGAATTCTTTCGAAGCAAAAGATTCAATTAAGCATACTAATGTCTATACACGTTCCTCAATCAAAACATAATTCAAAAAAAAAACTCGAACAAGTAACAAACAAACACTTAAAAATGAAATGAGTAATGAAATCGAAACTGGAATAAACCAAAGAGCTTACCTAGGAAATGACCGAAGAACACCAAGAACTTTCCCTAGTAAACTCGAGAACCCAAGAACCACCAATGTAGAATCCTTACGATTTTTCCAAATTTATTCTCGATTCTTCTTTTTCTTCACCTAGACAACAAGAATCCTCCTTAAAACAAGATTAAAACCCCTTCAATCGACCTAGGGAATGAAGAACACAAACCTAGAATGAAGAACCCTAACCTAGAAAATGTGAAGAAACACAAGCGTACGCCAAGAAATTTAAAGGAGAAAACCTAAAAAAAAAAAAATTAAACCCCAAATCCCAAGATGTAAGGTTGAGAAACCTATAAATATTGAAATTTAACCTAGAAAAACCAAAAACAAAGAACTAAGAAAGCTCGACAATTGAAGAACT